TTCTTCTTGCTGTCAACAATAAAAATTTCTCACCTCTGACTAAGAACAAAAGTAATTTTCTACTGCTTTTTGTGAACTTCCTTTTTAATCACTTCAAAGGGAGTCATACAAATTCCCTTGTTGCCCACCATTCAAAAAGCTTAAAAACAGTGCCTTGGTGGAAAGATGGTATGTAGCTGTTAATTTCTGAAAATAACGTGTGGTGGACCCTGGAAGTCAGGGAAATTGCAATCTCTATTCTAGAAATTTGCAGAAAAGGCAGAATGAGGAGAATTACTTCCTTGAGGAGGGTAGGTGTAGCATGCTATAAGCAGAGTGGCTGAATCACTCAAAAGAATATAGCTGTAGCAGAAGCTGAAAAACTCATAACTCTGCTGATGTCCCTAATTCCAGGTTGTTTGGTGGGTCATGAAACTGTAAGTATTACCACAAAGGGATGTGGTAAATTCACATGACCCCTTTCTGCTGTGACAGCTTGGCCCTGTCCAAGTAAATCTTAGTCACCACTTTGGCTAGTTTAGGCCCAAGTCTGATTTTGTGGCAACAGAATAAATACAGCACATATTTCTTGTGATTGGGGCAAATCTGAGCCCTATGGTAAAAGACCTGTACTTAGGCAATGAAAAGTTCAACCCCGGAGTAATGTCACACAGGCCAAAGCAGCATTAGAGTTAAGAAGACTTTAAGGAAGAACTGAGTAGCATAATTCACCTTTCTTGGAGGGGGGAGGAGAACTAACTTCAAAAACAGCTGACCAAAATTCACTTCGGATAATACGATTTTTTTCCTTTGTAGGCTATACTGGTTCAGGTATATATCAAGGCAAACAAATGAAAAGTCTTGGGAAACTTGTTTGGGCACCATCTTAATAATTATTTTTGCCAAGGACTTGTAAAACAAAGAGATAGGAGCCAGTGTGAACCTCTGCTGCAAAAACAACTGGCAGAAAGCCTTAACTGGGAATAACCATCCTCAACAATGACATGAGAAAATTTCCCTTGCTCCACAGCAGTGCTATCCAGGAGAACTTTTTTGCAAAGATGGAAATGCCCTGTATCTATACTGTCCAATACAGTAGGCACTAGCCACATATGGTTATTGAGCACTTGAAATGTGCTAGTGTGACTGAGGAACTGACCTTTTAATTTTAAGTATTTGATTATGCTATTACAATTGCTCCACTTTTTCTCCCCTTTATCTGCCTCCTCCTGGTACCCCCATTCCCTATAGCATTCCCCCCACCTTAGTTCTTGTTCATGGGTCATACATATAAGTTCTTTGGCTTCTCCATTTCCTATACTATTCTTAACCTTCCCCTGTCTATTTTGTACCTACCCATTATACTTCTTATTCCTTGTACCTTTTCCTCCATTCTTCCCGTTCCCCCTCCTAGCTGATAACCCTCCATGAGATCTCCATTTCTCTGATTCTGTTCTGGTTCTGGTTGTCTGCTTAGTTTGTTTTTGTTTTTGTTTTTAAGGTTCACTTGTCGATAGCTGTGAGTTTGTTGTCATTTTACTGTTCATAGTTTTGATCTTCTTTTTCTTAGATAAGTCCCTTTAACACTTTACGTAATAAGGGCTTGGTGATGATGAACTCCTTTAAACTTCACCTTATCTGGGAAGCACTTTATTTGCCCTTCTATCCTAAAGATTTTATTTATTTATTTTTAGAGAGGGAGGGGAGGGAGACAGAGAGAGAGAAACATCAATGTGCGGTTGCTGGGGGTCACGGCCTGCCACCCAGGCATGTACCCTGACTGGGAATCGAACCTGCGACACTTTGGTTCGCAGCCCGCACTCAATCCACTGAGCTACACCAGCCAGGACTGCCCTTCTATTCTAAATGATAGCTTTGCTGGATAGAGTTATTTTGGATGTAGGTCCTTGCTTTTCATGACTTTGAATACTTCTCACCAGCCCCTTCTTGCTGCAAGGTTTCTTTTGAGAGATCAGCTGATAGTCTTATGGGAACTCCTTTGTAGGTAACTGTCTTCTTTTCTCTTACTACTTTTAAGATTCTCCCTTTATCTTTAATCTTTGGCTTTTTAATTATAATGTGTCTTGGTGTGGTCCTCTTTGCGTCCAACTTGTTTGGGACCCTCTGAGTTTCCTGGACTTTTATGTCTATTTCCTTCCCCAGACTGGAGAAGTTTTCTTTCATTATTTTTTTCAAATAAGTTTTCAATTTCTTGCTCTTGTTCTTCTCCTTCAGGCACCCATATGATTCAGATGTTGGAATGTTTAAAGTTGTCCCAAAAGTTACTAAGCCTCTTCTCATTTTTCCAAATTCTTTTTTTAAAAGATTTTATTTATTTATTTATTTATTTATTTATTTATTTATTTATTTATTTATTTATTTGAGAGGGAAGGGAGGGAGACAGGGAGAGAGAGAAGCACCAATGTGCGGTTGCTGGGGGTCATGGCCTGCAACCCAGGCATGTACCCTGACTGGGAATCGAACCTGCGACACTTTGGTCCGCAGCCCGCGCTCAATCCGCTGAGCTATGCCAGCCAGGTCTGAATTCTTCTTTCTTCATTTTGTTCTGGTTGGATGTTTATTTCTTCCTTTTGCTCCAAATCATTGATTTGAGTCCCAGTTTCCTTTCCTTCACTGTTGGTTCCCTGTACATTTTCCTTTATTTCACTTTGTATAGCCTTCACTTCTTCATTTTGCAGCTGTACTCAATCATTTCTGTGAGCATCCTGATTACCAGTATTTTCAACTCTGCATCTGATAGGTTGGCTATCTCCTTATCGCTTAGTTCTTTTTCTAGAGTTTTGATGTGTTCTTTCACTTGAGCCATATTTCTTGGTCTTGGCACATCTGTTATATTGTAAGGGGTACAACCTTAGGTACTTGCCAGGGTGGGGAAACCCCCTTTGTACCGTTTGGTGCCGTACGTGGGGGAGTGGTCAGAGGGGAGAAATGCTGCTTGCTTGGCTCTCGCCCTGCTTTCAGTTACTTTTCCCACTTCCCACAAGTGAATGGCATCCTTCCAGGTGCTGCCCTGGTGCTGATTCTTGGGCGAGTGGGCTCGTGTATGTTCTAGGACACTGTGGGCCCCTCCAATGGACTCTCCTGAGAGACTAGCAGTTTCTTCCACTGCCTCAACCTATACAGGTGTTTACAGCCAGAGGTTCTGAGGTTTATTTTCCAGGCACTGAAACTCTGGGTTTCAAAGTCTGTCTCACTCTCTAGTTGTTCCTTCCAGTTTTTATCTGCATAGGAACGTGGGACCTCCATTTCCACCAGCTACCACCTTGCCGAGTATCCGCTTTGCCCTGGTGTCCCATCTCTGCCCCTCCTAACAGTCTGGGTGAATGTTTCTTTTTTAACTCCTTGGTTGTCGGACTTCTACACAGTTCAATTTTTGGGCAGTTCTGGTTGTTTTTTGTTTTTAAATTGGTTGTTGTCCTTCTTTTGGTTGTACAAGGAGGCGAACCATATCTACCTACACCGCTATCTTGGCTGCAAGTCTGACCTTTTAAGTTTACTTATTTTTTTAATCCTCACCCAAGGACACCCCTCCATTGCTCTTAGAGAGAAAGAGAGAGAGAGAGACATCAATGTGAGAGACAAACATTGACTGGCTGCCTCCCACAAGCGCCTGGACCAGGGATAGAACCTGTAACCCAGCTATGTGTCTTAACCAGGAATCGAACCTGCAACCTTTCAATGTACAGGATGACACTCAAACCAACTGAGTCACACTGGCCAAGGCTAATTTTATTTAATTTTAACTAATTTAAATTTAAATCACTACATGTGGCTTGTAGCTAGCATATTCGACAGTTAGTTCAGCTCCATAGGATAATATTGTGGCATATAGTTTCCCTAAAATTCGTATGGTCTCATAAATCTATAGTTGTATACAATCATTTAGATATTTCATGGCTTGATAATAATATTATTACAACTTATGACAGATCTGAAAATACTTTCAAAGAAAAGTTTTAGAGTTGGCAAAGAGTCACCTGACTAATGATGACTAGTCAATCACCCATTTAGAAGACAGAGTTAATTTTTTTTACAGTAGTCAAAAGCAATTCAAACATAAGTTAGTTTTAGGACCATAATATAATAGAGTTTCCCCTGCTGGGGAGAGGGGGAAATGCTATCCCATATAATTTTTGCTCAGTGCTTAAAAGACTCCATTATTTTATGTTGGGTCTTTTAAAAAACCTTTTAAAGTCAAGTGGGCTTCCCCATATGGGGCTGCAATTACCAAAAATTGTTTTTTGGTTGGGTGGAGGATAAAGAGAGTGGTAAAAGTGGAAAGGTATGTAAGAAGAATAAAAAAAGGCGAGAAAAGTAATCAAAATATTTTCTAGTAGATCAAGGTAGTGGGGATTTTTACTGCTTTGTGATGGCTGTTCAAACCTAGTTCCAATTCTAATTCAGTATTGTTTCCATTGAACTAAACTCTCTCTCTCTCTCTTTTTAATCCTCACTTAAGGATATGTTTATTGATGACAGAGACGGGGGGAGGAGAGAGAAAGAAAAACAGTGATTGGTTAACTCCTGTATGCACCCCAACTGGGGATTGAGCCTGAAACCTAGGTATGTGTCCTCGCTGGAATTGAACCCACAACTTTTTTGACATATGGGATGATGCTCCAATCAAATGAGCCACCTGGTCAGGACTAACCCCACATGTTTTTAATTAAAATATTTGAGAAAACAATCATGGATAATAATAATAAATAACTGTTTTTAAAGTAATTTTATCTCTGCTATAAATTTTTAAAATAACACAAATTTAATATATGATTAACCTGCCATTTATTATAACATTGTTTAGATTCATACTTACATATTACCTTACATGATTAAAAAAAACAAAATCTTATTGAAATGGTGGTAATTTTTGGAAGCAAGAATTTAGCTATAAGAAAAACAATAGTCAACACTAGGATATATTCATGGGCCCTGAAACAGAATAAAAACATTATCATCAACTGTATCTGTCTGGCTTTTTGATGATTTCTTTAATTTACCTTTAGTTTCCTCCTTGCATTGAATTTCCTCAGCTGCTCTACTGTTTCTGGAAGATGAATCTTGTAGGCATAACGATCTCTCTCCTATAAAAGAAGAAAGACAATAAATACTCTTAACTGTTTTAAAAGTGAAGAAGCTTAGTCCGTAACAAATGATAAAGTTCAATTCTTAAATGTGAAACTTAGATTGAATTTTGGCAGGCTGGAGGTTTTTTCCATGATACTGATAAACATTCTCAAATGAGGCATAAGAGAAGGTCAAAACTAATAGAAAAATAATATTTTACTTTCAGCAATAATAAAGGGCTGAAATAATAATTTTCAGACATATGGCTAATTAATTAATCAATCATATGATGATTAAGGTATGAAGTTACCTTTGACATGATCTTGTCAGGTAAAATGAGCATTTGAAAAATTCACAACTGATTCAGCAGTCTTAGTTGTTAAGAATAAATGGATTAAAAAAAAATCACAGCACCTTCAACCTAGAACAAACTTCAAGGCCATCTAATTCAAACATTTCCCCATGTGGGATCCTCTTCAATCCCGGATGGATGATCATTCTTTTTGACCTTGTCCAATAGGGGATCATTACTTTATGGCAGCCCATTACAAGTTTAAGAAAGTGAAAAAGTTTACTCAGCTTGGGCCCATATCTGGCTTGTTTGGGCTAGCTCTATCTTCTGGGGCATCACAGAACAAACACTACCTATTGCATATAATACCCCTTCAGTAGTTAAGAGGGGGATCATGCTTCCACTAAATCCATTCTTCTTTGTGATAATGTCTCCAGTTGCCTCAGCTATTCCTTATGTACATTTCAAAACACTTGCCATTCTTTTTATTCCCCCACTTTGGTTCTACTCTAATTTCTCAGTGTATCTTAAAGATTTATATGCTATAAGTACTCATTTTAGAAATATTTCTTGAGAGCCTGCTATGTGCCAGGCATTGTTCTACGTACTTGGGATATACCAGTAAACAAAATCAACAAAGATTCAGGCCTGCATGTAGCTCATATTTTGATGGGGGAAGACAAGAAAATCCCCAAAATATAAATTATAGAGTATGTTAAAAGTGCTATGGAATAAAGTGAAAAGTAAAGTAGAGTAAGAGGCAGTGGGGACATTGTAACTTAAAATAGGGGGGTCAAAGTAGGCCCAATTGAGAAGGTGACATCCAAAGAGGTAAGAGAGTGGTCTAGTTAGAGAGATCAATGCAGAGGCCCAAAGGAGAGAGTATAGGCTGGAATTTTTAAGAACTAGTAAAGAGACCCATGTGTGGAGTAAATAGTAAATCAGATGAGAGAGGTGACAAGGCTTGGGTAGGACATGAAGGACCTCTGGCTTTTATTCTAAGAGGGAGAGGGAACCACTAGAGGGTTCTGAGCTGGAATGACATCATCTAATAACTTTAAAGGGATACTCCATTTGTTCTGTTGAGAATGGATTGGAAGGGTGTGAGGGTTAAAAAAAAAGCAGGAGGGAGATCAGGTAAGAGGCTATTGCAGTAATCCAGGGGAGAGATGATGGTGGATGAAATCAGATGGAAAAAATTTCTAGAAAGGGTAAAAGGGTCAACTCTGAATATATTTTGTTTTATTTCCCCTGAAAACTTTTACTATGGTATAATTAGTGTAAATGGAATTATATACCATGTACTCATTATTGTCCAGCTTCTTTCACTCAGCATAAAGATTTTGCACTTCATCCATGTTGTTATATGTATCAATAGTTCATTCCTTTTTATTGCTGAGTGGTATTCTGTTTTAAGGATACATCATAACTTGTTTATCCATTCATCTGTTGATGGACCTGGGTTTTTTCTAATTTTTGGCTATTACAGATAAAGTTGCTATGAACATTAATGTACAAGTCTTTGTATGGACATACATTTCATTTTTCTTAGGTAAATACTTATGAGCAGAATGGCTGGGTTATAGTATAAGAGTATGTTTAACTTTTTGAGAAACTGCCAAACTGCTTTGCAAAGAGGTTGTACCCTTTTACATCTCCATAGCAGTGTATCAGTTCCAGTTGTTCTACATTGTTACCAACATTTGGTGCTGTTAGTCTCTTTCATATTAGCTATTCTGATACATGTGTGTACAGATGTCTCATTGTGGCATTAACATGTATTTCCCTAATGACTAAGGATGTTGGGCAACTTTACATGTGCATATTTGCCATTCATGTATCTTCTTTGTTGAAGTGTCAGTTCAAATCTTTTCCCATGTTGAACTGGGTTTTCTTATTATTGACTTTTTAAGAATTCTTTATATATTCTGGATATAAGTCCTTTATCAAATATATATTTGGCAAATATTTACTCCAGTTTGTGGCTTGTCTCTTCCTTCTTTTACAGTGTCTTTCCAAGAATAGAAGTTCTTAATTCTGAATATATTTTGAAGGTAGAGAGAACAGGATTTTCTAACAGATTGGATGTCGGGTGTGGAAGAGACAGGAATCATGGACTACACCAAGGTTTTCAAGTAGAAGTAACTGGAAGTCTGACACCAACTGAAATAGGGAAGGCTGCAGATAAAATAGATTTTGGGGAGAGGGTGAGATGGAGAAGAGATCTGGACTTCAGTTTTGGATATGTTATGGTTGAGATGCATAAAGCTCAAGTGGAGATTAGGTAGGTACTTGGACAAATAAGCCTAAAGATCAGAATAGGTCTGGGCTGGAAATAAAATATTTTTTTGGGGGGGGGTCATAAACATTTAGAAGGGATTAAGTATTAAATTAGTACTTAACTATGTCCCAGGTACTGAATTTGAGACTTTCACAGGCATTATCCCATTTCTTTAAAACAACTATATAAGATAGTAGAGATAATGCTATACATTAGTTATTTCAAAAGTTGTGACTCAAACTGGACATAATTGTTTCATCACAGCTAGCGTTTACTGATGGTGTACTGTGTTCTAGAGCTTTGTATGTTTATATTACTCATTTCTCACAAATGAGGTACACATCATTATTAATCTATAATCTACAGTCTAGTTAATTATAATCTATCATTATAATCTATAGTCTAGATTATAATCTATAATCTAGTTAAAAGTGAGATGCATTATACCAGATGAAGATTAATTAGTATAAAGTGAAGTGGATCTCTTACTATCCTTGATCTGTATACTATATAATCTTTGTAAATTAAGTTCACAATGGTATTATTATTATTATTATTATTATTTTGTAACTAAAATTCTTGTTTGCATATGAGCCATTTCTAAATTCAAATGTTTTGGTATTATCTATTGACGAAATTTATTTTTGAATTTAAATGTAGAATTTTACAGTTAGCCCTGTCAAAATTTCACCTTATTATCTGAAAACTCCTAAAAAATAAGTAAAAGCACTTCAAAATTTATTTATGTATTAATGACTAAAAGTAACTAGAATTCCACTGGAGAGCAAAATTATATTTTTCTTTAGTACACATACAACACTCATTCCTAAAATGACTACAAGTTTCATCTCTGCTATATTCTATGTCCTAATAAACATCTTGGAAATAATTTTTCATTATCTTCAGGGACTTAACCTTCTTCCCCTGCACTGAGCCAAAGCAGGTTCACTAAAACAGAAGACATAAAAATTTATCAAATAATTATGTAGCAGAGAGAAGGATAAAATTACTATTTTAGAACAAGCAATGGAATCTTTTAACAGATTGTGGTTGCTGGTTATGGATTATAAATTTGATTTGTGTAATGTGTGGTGATGTTTAATTAACACAAAGTGTATCTCTGAGTTCTGTGAGCTGTCTAGCAAGTAATCAAATCCAAAGATAGGGGGGTCATGAAAATCTCCAATTTGCAGCTAAGTGGGATAAAAGTTGTGGGTTACATGGGGACCCACTACTTGCAAATGGCAACTGAAGTGAGAAGCAGCCTTGGTGGGACTGAGCTCTTAACCTGTGGAGTCTGCATTAACTCCAGGTAGTGTCAGAATTTAACTGAAATGCAGGACACCCTGCTAGTGTCAAGAGAATTGCTTGGTGTGGAAAAAAACCCACACACATGTGGTATCAGAAGTGTTGTGAGTGAGGTAGTAGTGTAAGAACAAAGGAGAAACACACACAAGCATTTCTTAAACAATTACATATTATATAATACTGTTCATATATACTAATTAGAAAGGACAAAAATTACAGTGATGGACAGTAGATCAGTAGCTACCAGGGGTTAGGGCTGGGAGGAAGATATGATTATTAAGGAACAGCATGAAGGGTGACAGGACAGTTCTATATCTTGATTATGGTGATGGTTTTATAATTCTATACATGTGAAAAATGTCATAGAAACACACACATACACAGAGGAATCTATATAAAAACTGGTGAAATTCAAATAAGGTCTGTGGTTTAGTTAGTAGTGCTCCAATGTCAATTTCCTACTTTTGATAATTGTGTTATGGTTGTACAAGATGTTATCATTGGGGGAAAAATGGTGAAGAACACATGGGATTTTATACTATTTTTGCCACTTCTATGTGAGTATAAAATTATTTCAAAATAAAAAAGTTTAAAATACATTACTTCCACTCTACATGTTTGATTGTACTATGGGCTTCCTAATTCTATATAACTCCAATTACTCACTGAGCCTCATCAATTTCCCTTAAAATTTCTGTGCTTGAGTATTGCTTTCCCACTCCCAGTTTTACTTCCTGGTCTAGGCCCCGTCATGTCCTGACTGGACAGCCATAATGTCTATTGGATCTCTATGCTTCTACTGCTGTCTGATTCTTGACAGGCAATCCACCTGCACACAGTGTTCAAAGGAATTATATGAGCATGCTGCTTGTACTCAAAAGCTAGCAGCAGCTTTTTACTCTCTACACTCTAATATCCAAAGTACTTAATTTGGCATTCTAGACTATATAGTCTTCCATCAAAACAAAATTTCCAGTATACTACTGCTACAATCCTTTAAATAGCTGACATTTGTATAGTAGTGACCCCCTTCATCCGTGGTTTCACTTATCTGTAATCAACTGAAAATATTAAATGGAAATTTCCAGAAATAAACAATTAATTCATAAGTGTTAACTTGTGCATTGTTCATTAGA